CTAAGGGCCCATGTGCCCAAGTAGGGTTCCTTTATGGGCCACTACAAGGTCTCTGGAAGGGTTTCTATAAGCTTTCTACAGGGTTTAGGGTATAAGGATCCATGTGCCCAAATGGTAAAGCCTAAACCCTAAACCCTATATACTTTGGCCCCAAAGCACCTATATAGGGATTTCTCTAAGGCCACAAATCATACACTCTTTGGGCACACGGACTCTTGACTCTTTGGAATGGTTTCGGCACCTAACTATTAGGTTTTAGGGTTCAGGGTTTCGGGTTTAGGGTTTAGGGTTTAGGGTATAGGGTTTAGGGGTTTAGGGTCTAGGGTTTAGGGTCTAGGTTTCAGGGTTTAGGTTTAGCTGTGCTTAAGCAGCCTGATCGTCATTCACTCTCCAAGGCTCAGCCTCTTCATGAGCTGCAGTGCTGCAAGAAGTGCGCACATGCGGGGTTGGGGGCTTTCTGAAAGCAGAAGTCCCTTTTCGATCTGCGTGTCGTTTTCAACTTCTGTTTATAGTGCTATGGTTTTCGATCTTCGTGTCGTTTGCAACTTCTGTTTACAGTGCTATGTCTATTCCTGCTTCTGCAGAACTCTGAGTGTTTTGACGTGTTTTGCCATAGGAGTTGCTCGTGTTTTGAGATGGGGTGGGGCGGGTTGGAGCTCAAGGGGCTGATAACCCAGAGGGTTCAAGTACTTCAATTATTGAGCTTTTAGGTTTAGGGTTTGGGGGCTTAGTACTTCAATTATGGGCTTAACGTTTAGGGTTTAGGGGCTTAGTACTTCAATCATTGGGCTTAGGGTTTGGGGTTTCGGGGCTTTACGTTCGAAATCCCAAGCTTTGAATGGTTTTGATAACTCACTAAAGCCGTACTATACGACCCTTTAGGTAAGCAAGGTGAACGGATATCCTACCTGGGTCATCCTGATAGTTTCCCAGTTTGTGACGTGCTTCCAAACCACACACGGGTTTGGGAAACGACCAGAAACCACAAGCGCACTGAAAGAGTCCCCTGATCCCTGGATTACGCCCCAAACGGCCTCAAATCCTAGACTATACCCGAAACTGTACCCCAAACGCCCCAAATCCTGAAAGGCCCTAAACCCTAAACCCTAAGTTCTCAAAGGCCTTGAACCCTAAACCTTAATTTTAAGTTCTTAAAGGCCCGGAACGGCCCGGAACCTATAACACTCCTATAACATAGGGGCCTTATATAATGATTACCTATATTATCTTGGGGCTCCTTATGATAATTATAGGATCAGTGGCCCCAAAACCCTACTCCAATTATTAAGGCCACTAGATTTCATAGAAGCCTCTTATGGTAGATCCCTTATTATAGAACCCTTTACAGGAACCATTCAAGGATCCCTTCAAAGGAACCCTATTCTACTTATGAAGGCGCCCTAAACCCTAAGCCCTAAACCCTAAACCCTAAACCCCTAAACCCTAAGCCCCTAAACACTAAACCCCTAAACCCTAAACCCTACATTACTCAGGCATCACCAATGGGGTGAGCTGGAACTTGATCCTCATACCCCTGAAGGCCTGAGTTCAGGGCTTAGGGTTTAGAGTTTAGGGTTTAGAGTTCACCGTTTAGGTTTGAGGGTCTAAGGCTTAGAGTTTAGGGTTCACGGTTCGGGGTTTGGGGCTTAGGGTTTAGGGTTTAGAGTTTCGGGTTTAGGGTTTATGGTTTAGAGTTTAGAGTTTAGAGTTTGGGGCTTCAGGCTTAGAGCTTAGGGTTCACGGTTCGGGGTTTGGGGCTTAGAGTTTAGGGTTTACGGCTTACCGTTTAGAGTTTAGGGTTCGGGGTTTAGAGTTTGGGGTTTAGGGCTTAGAGCTTTGAGTTCACGGTTCGGGGTTGGGGGCTTAGGGTTTAGGGTTTAAGGCTTAGGGTTTAGGGTTTAGGGTTCGGGGGTTAGAGTTTGGGGTTTAGGGCTTAGAGTTTATGGTTCGCGGTTTGGGGTTTAGGGTTTAGGGTTTAGGGCTTTGGGTTTAGCGTTTAGGGCTTAGGGCTTAAGGTTTAGAGTTCAGGGTCCAGGGTATAGGGTTTAGATTTCAGGGTTTGGGGTCCGCACCTATACCCTGAGCTCTAGGGCTCCGGTTTAGTTTAGGGCCTTGTGCGGTTCATGAGGGGCTCTGTATGGGGCCTAAACCCTAAACCCTAAACCCTAAACCCTAAACCCCTAAACCCTAAACCCTAAACCCTAAACCCTAAATGGGCTAGGCCTCATCGGGTTTCGGTTTTAGGGGATGGGGGAAGTAGGGTTTGCTTTGACCATGACAACTTTTCCCCTCGTGTTTAGGACCTAGATCCGGAAATCACAATAAGGAACCCTAAGCAGGTATGTGTTCTTGGTTGAACTTTACAGTCACTTTATAGCTTTATCACTTTTAGGATTAGCCTCTTTTGATATTAGGGGTACTAAAAGTTATAAATTTAGCAAGGTAATAAAGAGCCTTAAAGTGTTGTGCATAAAGGATCATTAAGGTAGGGTGCGCAAGCATCGGCCCTAAACCCTCAAACATATGCAACCCCCAAACCCTAAACCCTAAAACCCTAAACCCTAATTAAACCCTAAACCCTAATTAAACCCTAAACCCTAATTAAACCCTAAACCCTAAAACCCTAAACCCTAATTAAGCCCTAAAACCCTAAACCCCCAAACCCTAAACCCTAAAACCCTAAACCCTAATTAAACCCTAAACCCTAATTAAACCCTAAACCCTAAACCCTAAACCCTAAACCCAGACCCTTAACCCTAGATGATATACGGATTCCTGGAGACGCTCCGCCGCTGCGTCGCATCGCGACTCCCGGGAGAG